CAAAGTTATTTTTTTCTCTTATTTTTAATTTTTTTCAAATTTATTTTTTCTCTTCTTTTCTTTTCTTTCTCTCTCTGTCTCTCTCACTCTGTCTCTGTCCCACCTTGTTCTTTATCTCTTCCTTTTTGTTCTGTTCTGGCCCTAATTTGGATTTCTTTTTTCTTTCTTTTTCTTTTCTTCTCCCAATTGTCATTAGTTTTAAAGGAAAGTTAATACAGTTTCTAGCTTTCCTATTGCTGTTAGTTTGTTCTGTTCTTGTCTTTGTTCTTTCATTCTGTCTTTTCTTCTTGTCATCAACAGTTTCCCAAAGTTTGCATGATCTTCCTGTGTCCTCTGGCCTCACTGCTAATCTTTCCCTATCCTTCTACCTATCTATTCCTCCCTCCCCAACTCATTCTAAGTCCCCATCCTGAAGGGTAAAGTTGCTATATTGAAAAGTTTATTCACTACAGACATATTTTGGCCTGGTCCCCGATTTTGATTTAATTCACATGGTTAAAGGTGATAGATTAACAGCTACTTCAAATTGTCATTTTCTATGCTGTGCTTGATGCTATTGTTGTTGCTGATTGTATCACTTGGGGTAAGGTGTTGTAATTGATCTAATCAGTTGTCCTTCCTGGTATACTGAAAACAAGATTGTATCAGAGTCATTAGAGACTCAAAACCTAAAGACCAGCTACCTCTGAGAAGCAATCATTCCATAAGAGCTCTAAATACAAGCAACAAAGATACTTACAGTAAGCAGTACTGAAGTATAAACCCAGGAATTAAACCAAAAACAGCACCACCAACAAAAACAGAAATGAGAAGACACTTAAGCAAGGCACAAACCCAGACTTCCAGCTCACCAAAGGCAAATTCTGGGGGAAATGAGGTGGAAAAATCTGATGATAACCACCTGGACACCCTGAACCTGATAGCACAGGAAGTAACAAAACAGATGAATGAGGCTCTAGAAAAATTCAAAACAGAAATAATTTCCCAGATAACTACAGAGACAGTGAGCAGAATGAGACATAATTAGAGACTCTAGAACAGAAACAGATAAAAAAGTAGATGAGCTCAGGACCATGCTGGGAGCCATGAATGCCCAGCATAGGAAAGAAATGGAAACCATGAACATCCAACATAGGAAAGAAATGGAATCCATGAAACAGATTCAAACAGATATTGAGGAGATTAAAAAGTCCATTGAAAGTATTCTCAGCAGAATGAGGCAATGTGAAGATAGAATTTCAGATATAGAAGACAGGATTGTGGTTAGTTATCATGAAAAGAGATATCTCTTAAAAATAGTAAGGGACTATGAGAAACCAATCCAGCAGCTCCTAGATGACCCAAAAAAGGGTAATGTAAGACTGACAGGAGTCCACAAAAAAGCAGGAGAAAGTACAAGTGACATAAAAATTGTTCACAGAATTAATGACAGAAAACTTCCCAAACAGAGCAAAAGAATTTGACATACAGATAAGTGAGGCACTTAGGACTCCAACTAGCACAACAACAAAAAAATTCTACACTTAGACATATAATAGTCAAGATCCCAGAAACCCAACAGAAGAACAAAATACTACAAGCAGTTAGAGAAAAGAAACAAATCACATACAAAGGAAAGCCCATCAGAAACACAGCAGAATTCTTCAACACAAACCCTCAAGTCAAGGAGAGCCTGGAGTGAGGTATTTCAAGCCCTAAAAGAAAACAACCTCCAACCTAGACTGATGTATCCTGCAAAACTATCTTTCAAAATTGATGAGGAAATAAGATACTTCCATGATAAATATTTAGATGATACTACAAAAATTAAGTCATAGCCAGATGTAACGACACACACCTGTAACCCCAGTTACTGGGGAGGTTGAGGCAGGAAGATTCCAAGTTGGAGGACAGCTTGGACAAACAAGTGAAATCTTGTCTCAAAAAATAAAAGGACTGTGGATGTAGTAAGTGAAAGAATACCCGTGGCTTCAATCCACAGCACCCACTCCAATTAAGGCACAGACTCACAAGCTTCAAATGGGAAGAGACTAAAACTAGGACCATTAGCACCTCATCCTCTGTTGCTGACTCTTGTCAGTGTTCACTGGCTTCAGTAACATAGAGGGTTGTGTTTTGTAGTGCCTGAAGGGCAGATGAGGTGTTGGGCCTTTAGAGGATTAGAACTAAGATCAGGTTACTTGAAAGGCTCCATCCTCAGTGAAATCCTCCTGTTATCAAGGAGGTATAATGGTAAGCTTATCTGTTTTGTCCTGAGATTTCCAGTAGGTTAAAATCTTCCATGTGAATTTATAACCAGACTATATCTTGAATTTCAGAAAATGGAATTATCAGATATAGACTTTAAAATGAAAGAATAAGAATTTGTAAAACAAAGGAATGATCTATATGAGAAGAGAGAATATCTAAGATACACCTGCAGAAGACACAAATACCACTTCTAGAAGTTAAATATGTAGTCACTGGAATTAGAAGGTATGGGTGTGCTTCTGATAACCCAAGGTGAAGAGCAGGGGTAATTGCTAAACTTTTCTGCTGGGTTGAGCTCTCCAATGGGGCTGATCTTGAGCTCCACAGACAACTTCATTAAAGAAAAGTAGGCAAGCAACATTATGATGTAAAAGAGTAAACCAAGGACTATACACTATGAGAATAAGTCATCAGACCCAATAAAACCAGGGATAGGCCCATAAAAATGTTTTAATTAGCATGTTGATAATAACTAAAACACGAATTAAAACATCAAAATAATGTAGAAAACTCATTATTACCAATAAAACATAGCTTTTGAAAAGACTATGTGTCACCCCTAGAAACTGTAGAAACAGGCATTCTAGTTTAAGAAATAATGGAGACACCCTACCGAGGTCATGAGTCGGGTGGAACACACCGAATCAGCCCACCCCAGCAAAAATCCAATGGAGCCCCCCCCCCCCCC